TTAGCAGACTAGCTGTATAAGATTGTGTGCTATGCTAATATATTACTTCACAGGCATTACTGGCTTGTATTTTTAAATCCATAATATTATAAATTTACAGTTTATTGCTGGTCTGTGGTTTTACACAGCTGTAATTTTTAAAGATTTCATATTATTGTAAGGTGAGCTTAAAGGGTACACTACTATGAAAATCACACAGCTTCAGTGTGACATCAATAAGAAAAAGTATAATTTCATAGATATTGTTAATAATAGTTGTTCATAATAAAATATGTATGAACTTAATACATGACCTAGATTATTTATTTTGCAAAATCTTGTAATTTTAATAAATTACATGAAATTTATAAAAAATTGTTGCTGCTCCAATTAAGCTCAGTGTGATCTCTTTAAGCTCTTCCACATTGAACGTCTATGTAAATACTTCATAAACCGACTTTACATTTAAACTGGACTTTACATTTAGCCCCGCCCCCACTCGTCACAATGTGTTACTTACGTGGACTAGTCTAGATGTTGCAATGTGCTTATCATGTGGTGTTCGGGGCCTTTTTGCCCCAAGAAGATTTTCTTTTTCCCGAAAATACTACTTAATGTTATCGCATTGGACTGAAATTTAGTGACTTTGTTCACAAAGGGTATAACTACTTCTAAAAAAAAATTTGATCATTTTCATACTTTTTTGGGGGAGATTTTTCACCTTGTTACACTTGTGGTGTTCCTGGTCAAACAAAAAAAAAGTAAAAATTTGCACTGTTTATCACACTAGTGTGCTTTAATGTTTAATCAGGGAGTTTGTTTTGAAAGGCTTTTATTTTGTACAAAATGGCACAAAGTCACACTTGTGGTGTTCCCGGTCAAAAATGACCCAGCCTCAAAAAATTGCTTATAAATCACTCATTATGTTATATTATCACCAAATATTGGATTCAGTCTTTTTGTCAAATTCTTTTCTTTCATTTAGGACTGGTTTTGTATTTATATTTGCTTCTAATTAATCATAGGCCTCATTTATCTGAGAGTAGGCACCTCATTTTTTGAGTGAAAAAAGCATTATTTATGAATAATTTTCACAATATTAAATAAAAACTGATGAAAATTTACACAGTTGATCGCACTAGTGTACTTTAATGTTTAATCAGGGAGTTTGCTTTTAAATGCTTTTATTTTGTACTAGGGGTGTGCGATATATATCGTCTGCGATAATATCTTAATCGTTGTTTTAACGATGTGCGATTTGATGTTATCGAGTATTTTGCAAAAACCTTTCAAAACACCCCTACAGAGTGCACGCATACATTACGTCAAGTTTAAACTAGTGCGCGTGCGCATTTAGAGTTCGTTCTTTCACTGCATGATTCAGTCTACAATACATTTAAAATTATCACAAATTCATGACATGATGGCAGAAAATGTATATTTATACCATTTCATATTGTTAATCAATATCAAACAAAGAGTGCCGTTTTTTTCTCCAAGAATTACCATGATTACAAATGTGCTATTTTTTTTTTTTTTTACAATAGTTCAATAAACAAGTACAACATCATTTACTCACCCTCATGTTGTTCCAAACCTGTATGACTTTCCTACTACAAAAGAAGATATTTTGAACAATGTCGACAGTCTCAGTGATTTTTTATTTTGAAGTCAAATGGATTAAAAAGTCAATGGATTCCAATGTTTTTTGACCCTAGTGTTTTTCAAAATATCAGTCATACAGTTTTGGAATAACTTGAGGGTGAGTAAATGGGGAGAGAATTGCTGTTTTTGGATGAGCTATGGCTTTAAGTTGTTATATAGTTACATTCACAGGCATATTGAGTAAGTCTCTAGTATGATCTCCAGTAATACTAAAATGAATGGCCATCATGCTAGCAGTGAATTATGAGGCACAATGCAAATACAGTGCTAATCTCCACTGCATACAGTGTTTACCGTTGTCGCACAGACAAGTATTCTGTTTTTAACCATTTAAAATAAAATTAAATATTTTTGTGTGAGAGATTAATATTTTACTTTAACAACTTTTTATACTGAAACCAATATCTCGTGCACTAAAAATGTCTCAATGTAGATTTTGGTGAGCTTAATAGGTACGTTTACCCTAATCCAGCGCGAAGGCAACATGTGTATTGCAAACTGTATCGGTACATTCACATGGGGCATCGGCGTTGACGCTTGAGGGCATGTCTGAAGTAGAGACCTGCACTCCCACACAGGGGTGGATTTAGTGAATTGGGGGCCCCAGGCAAAATATAGGAATGGGGCCCCTGTACATTTGCACACATTTTCCTAGATCCACCTTGAGGATCCTTTTTTCTTGTGATGCTTGCTGCTGCACAATGGTGCCCCATAGTTGTGTCCAATGTTTCTACATTTTTCATGTACATGTTATAATGGATTTCTTTCATGTTGTAGACCACGAAATAGCAACTGATTTACAGTTGAGATACAGGTTTTCACACAAACAAAATAAATTATAAAATGATAAACCTCACAATTGAGCGTTTAAACCAGAGGTGAGTCAGAAGTATAAATTATTATATTAATTTAAAACGGGGTAATGTGGGTGGATTTTCGCATTGGTCTGAACAAAAACTACAGACTGGATTATTGAAAATGAACATTCATTCTCTGCCAGTAGGAGGCGTTTTGGAACGTCAGAAATATAGAATGAGAAAGGTGTGAAAAAATATAGCCTATGTTGACGGGGAAAGTCCACTGATGAGTTACCAGCGTAAGCCTTTGTGCAAAGGCTGTCTAATTATAAACTTTAAAATACATTTAGTTATATTAACTACAAATTTAAATAAAACTGAAAAAATAATGAAAAGACAATTATACATTGATTTACACACCTAAGGATTATATCAGCCAAAAAAGTAACTGCGTATGTGTCCTCTACTTGGTTCCTTCTCATAAATGAGTAAACGGCATTTAAAACAATTATAAACATATAATACACATGCACTGTTTCTCAATATTTAATTACAGCTTCAGATGCATAATATTTTCGTCTCCTTCAAGCAGGATACACAAAAAGCACGTTCCAACACGGACGGTTGTTGTGGTAATAAACACCGTAAACCGCAACCATTCGTGTGTCCGCGCCTAATGCACATCTATATATTTGGGGAAGTCGTGGCCTAATGGTTAGAGAGTCGGACTCGTAACCCAAAGGTTGCGGGCCTGCTCCCATGGGACCTGGGGGACCCAACGCAACAGGGTGCGGCGCGGGACAACACTTGATGGGTGAATGCGGGTGCGGCGCAGGTAGAGATTCGTGCAGAATGCGGGAGAATAAAATGATTCACGGGACTCCCGCAAAATAGAAATATTTACACATTAAATGTCTAAAAACATAAATTGTTATTTATCTGTTGCACAAAAGCAAAAAGAACAACTAATATTAACATTAAAATGATTTACAGTACATGCACAAGCTAAGCAGTTTCTATTTATAACACGTCTTTAAAGCGTCTCGCAATGTAGCCAATCACAGGCATAGCTGTTGATTTCTCGAATGCAATGGCCAGTCAGAGGTGATTAATCCACTCACTGCAGTGCTGAAATTTGCGTGCTCATGAATCCTCTCATTTTAACACACGAAGTGTAGACATTGTGAAAGATTCATTGTGCATATGTTCGTTGTGTTATAACAGAGCTTTATGATATTGCGATGAACTGAGATGTCAGCTTTTAGTGATAATAAAGGGAGCGCTGTTTGCTGGCATTCTGCCATGCCAAACCATGCACGCAGCAGCCCATGCTTGCTTTTCTGTTAAAAATAACAGTGGTTTGTGAATGTTGATGCTATAGCCTAAATAAATATTTTTTCGGGAGCGTTTATGCTTCGATGTTACAGAACCATTTCATGTAAATTTCTTCAATGTACTGAAAAAAATCTATATAGATTACTTTTATGCGGGCGGGAGCAGGGCAAAACATAAATGTCGCGGGCGGGAGCGGGACAAGATAATATATATTTCTGCGGGAGGCTGGGAGCAGGACAGAACCTTGCTGGAGCGGGACTGAAAAATCCGTCCCGCGCAGGTCTCTAGTCTGAAGCTTGGTGCTGACGCGACCGCCATAGTGACAACAGCCAATCACATTACTTTTCTGGTGTTGCATGAATGGGATTGGCTAGCGTCTGCGCTAGGGTATTTGCATAAGGCTGATTGGCTGACGCCTACGTTGGCGCTTGAAAAGTTTTCAACGTCTGCCGTGAGCAATGCCAGTGATGTGATGCGACAGACCCACAATTCAGTTCGGCAACGCTTGATGTCACTCCTTTTAAAGTAAACGAGAGGCGTTGATGCTGACGCCCCGTGTGAATGTACCGTATTGCTGTTATTGTTTTTTTTTAGCGTAGGCATAACAACGCAACGGCATTGCCATAGAAACAAACGCACATTCTGTAAAATGAAAGAGAGCTTATGGACATACAAATCAGATATGAACAGTTGCAATACATTATCTGGACAGTCAGTTATTCAAATCAGATTCAGTTTCTGGATATGCACAAAATTGGATTTGGGCTGACTGTCTGAACTAGGCTTTATGGTCGAATGGAAGAATGGAATTGTCAAATGAGCCAAGACAGCTCCAACAGTCAAAAATTCAAATCTAAACAGACAAACAGATGCCCTTTGATCTGCCTTCAAGCCACCCCCAACCTCAGAATATGTGATTTTAATCATTACAGAATTTGTCTTTATTAAACTAAAAATATTTCAAAAGCAATATTTCAAAACCATCCTCTTTATGTGCAACAAAGAACAACAAGTTTGACTACTTTCACGAGGACATTTCGTAGGCTTCCATTATTCTTATTTTCATAGCCAGCTAATATCTGTTAAACCTAACTATCACACAAACATGTGCTGTGCCCATTACTAGATTTAAGGATCTAGTTATTTTAATATTAGAGGATATTTGACTCTATCAAGTGTAACAAATAAAATTATAAATGTGACTTCCCTGAACTTTGCTTGCAGGTCATTCTGTAGCTGTACAAATGAAGAGACGGTTTAGTGATGTGGAGTCCCCGGTTCATTTATACGAGTCCAGTGAAGAGGAAAGAGACACAGCCCTGTATACGACAAGTGATGGAGGAATAGAAGATGAAAGAGAGGTGACCCTACATACAAATGATGGAGGGGTGGAAAAAGAAATAGACACAACCCTACATATGGCAAGGGATGAATGGATGAAAGAGGAAAGGGACACGACCCTATGTACAAGTCATGGAGGGATGGAAGAGGAACGAGACTCGACCCTACAGACAACAAGTGATGGAGGGAAGGAAAAGGAAATAGACACAACCCTACATACAACAAGTGATGGAAGGATGGAAGAAGAAAGATACACAACCCTACGTAAGACAAGTGATGGAGGGATGGAAGAGGAAACAGATGTGACCCTACATACAACAAGTGTTGGAGGGATGGAAAATGAAATAGACACAACTCTACATAATACAAATGATGGAGGGATGGAAGAGGAAAGAGATGTGACCCTACAGACAACAAATGATGGAGGGATGGAAGAGGAAACAGATGTGACCCTACAGACAAGTGATGGAGGAATGGAAGAGGAAAGAGACACAACTCTACGTAAGACAAATGATGGAGGGATGAAAGAGGAAACAGATGCGACCCTACATACAACAAGTGATGGAGGGATGGAAGAGGAAAGAGACACAACTCTACGTAAGAAAAATGATGGAGGGATGGAAGAGGAAACAGATGCAACCCTACATGAGACAAGTAATGAATGGATAGAAGAGGAAAGGGATCTGGATGGAGACGCAGAGCTGGAGGTGGAGCTCTCTGATGAAGCTTCTGAAACCGAGGACAATACGGAGTTCGATCCAGACTACCACACTACTGATGGAGAAGAGTCAGAGGAAGAGTCAGAGGTCACAGCTGACACAGAGACGGCTTATCAGTCTAAAAACGGAAATCTACTGATGGAGAAGAGTCAGAGGAAGAGTCAGAGTCAGAGGTCACAGCTGACACAGAGACGGCTTATCAGTCTAAAAACGGAAACATATCGTGGACTTCAAAAACTCCTCAGAGACAACGAGGGAGATTTCCAGCTCATCGTATCATCAGAATGACAATGACCCCTGGACCAACAAGGTTGGCATGTGCCAATGCTGAAGACATAAGATCAACCTTTGAATTATTTTTCCCAGATAATATTAAACGGATTTTGATTGAAATGACCAATTTAGAGGGGAAACGTGTGTTTGGTGCTACCTGGAAGAACCTGGACTGGACAGACTTACAGGCCTTTTTTGGTCTGTTGATTCTGGCAGGCGTGTATCGATCCCACCATGAGGCCATGCATAGTTTATGGCACAGTGTATCGGGGAGGGCAATTTTTCGTGCTACCATGTCACTGAAGACTTTTACCGATTTGTCAAGGGTCTTCTGCTTTTATAAAAGAGATGAAGCGCTGGACCAAAAGAAACATGACAAGCTGGCACCAGTAAGGAACATCTGGTATAAATGGGTCCAACGACTGCGACTCTTATACAATCCAAGCCCAAACATCACTGTGGACGAGTGCCTGATCCGTTTCAGAGGTCGCTGTCCCTTCAAACAATACATGCCGAGTAAACCAGGCAAGTATGGAATTAAAATCTGGGCGGCATGCGATGCCAGATCGAGCTACGCGTGGAACCTGCAGATCGACACTGGAAAAGCTGTCGACGGCAAGTCAGAAAAGAACCAGGGAATGCAAGTGGTCTTGGACATGACAGATGGTCTAGAAGGACACACCATCACGTGTGACAACTTCTTCACCTCGTACGCCCTCGGCCAGGAGCTGCTCCAAAGGAAAATGACCATGATTGGAACCGTCAGAACAAACAAGCCTGAACTCCCACCTGCGCTCCTGTCAATGAAGGACAGGGCACGATTATCATCCATGTTCGCCTTCACTGATACGCACACTCTTGTGTCCTACTGTCCCAGAAAAAAGAAAAATGTGCTTTTGATGAGCACGCTTCACAGAGATGACAAAGTAAGCGACAAAGATCAGAAGGAGCCAGAGATCATCCTAGACTACAACCACACCAAAGGCGGAGTTGACAACCTTGACAAGGTATTTTACTACTTTGTATTATTTAGACATTTTCTGCATGAAGTGAAAATGAACCATATCTATTTTTAAATGCTAATTATAAATCTTTTTTCTTTATCAATAATTTATTACAATCGGACATACGTCACAATATGTAAGAAAAGATTGGTCGCTACTTCTGTTTCTTTTGGATTTTAAAGCCTGGTTTCACAGACAGGGCTTAGACTAAGCCAGGATTAGGCCATAGTTCAATAAGGACATTTAAATAATTTTTTTTATAAACATGCCTTAGAAAAAAAACATTACTGGTGTGCATCTTGAGATAAAACAACGGCACTGATATATTTTAAGATCAGTCAGTGGAAGTTTCTTTAAGGGGAGACACTGCAGGCAAAAACACTGTTTTTTCATGCACCTGTCAAGTTTGAGATTTTGGCCTTTTTGGTTTTTCATAAAGTGTTTTTTCAGACTAGTGGAAAGAAAACATCCAAAAGACACTGTTAAGTGTTTCTTTTATAGTACTTTATCTATTTGTGTCAATAGATTTCAATTAAAATGCATATTTTTAAAGGCCGTTTTCTCAAAATGAGTTTTTTCTCCTACACTGGGCCATAAATCTCCACTTCAGTAGCCCTTACACACACCAAACTTTACATTTTTATTCCTGTCTATATCCTGAAGGTGTTTACAGAGGGATTTGTTCATATATAATTTTCTTGATTATATACATTTTATATTATTTTACTTTATATTTTTTATATTTATTACTTTTATCCCCCAAACAATTGTGAACATATATTGTTTTCTGTCTGTTCTATGTGTTTTCTGAATTATCAGTCAAGTGACAAAAATTAGATACCCCAAATTCCCTCCTAAGAATTTTGAAACTGACTTCATTCAGTGTTCAGATTTTTGTACTAGAAATTTTATTTGAATTAGTGCATATTTCATTAAATAATGCCTTATTTGCATATTTATACCTAACCTGCATATTTAGAAAACTTGGAATACAAATTTTTTTTGCGATTATCAAAGTAATGAATCAACTGGGTAAGTAAGGCGATAACTATTAGTTAATTTTTTTACCCTATTCACCTGCAGTCTCTCACCTTAAATTGAAACAGCACAGACTTACATTTTAGTCTTGGACTAGGCTTAAGCCTTGTCTGTGAAACCGGGGGTAAGAACAAATGGCACAAATAAAGTGAATTGAATTGTCAGCTGGTGAGCTAAAGCAATGATAAGATCAAAGCAGTAACTGATCAAATGTAAATGTATACCTTGAATACAGTGTTTTGGATAAAAGCATCTGCCAGATGCACACCATGTAAATGTTTTGCTTGTCATTTCACTTTCAGCTTGTTGCCACTTACAGCTGCCAAAGGAAGACATCTCATTGGCCCATGGTCATTTTCTTAAACATGTTGGACGTCTCTGCCTACAATGCATTTGTATTGTGGACGGAGATAAATCCTTCATGGTACAAAGGGAAAAGCATTAAAAGGAGGGTCTTCCTGGAAGAACTAGGGGAAGCTCTGGTGACTCCCTTCATGAAAAGACGGCATTACTCTCCCCGCACGCCAGACTCTCAGAATATGGTGATGGAAGCAAGAGCATGTTCTTCTACAGCCAAAAAACCGGGCTCCTCCCCAGTATCAAGCCACAGCAAGAGGAAAAAGTGTCAGGTCTGTGAGTCAAAGAAGGGCACAAAAACTAGTATGATGTGCAGTCAGTGTAACATGTACATTTGCAGGTCACATGCTATTATAGCTTCTTACTGCTACGCATGCAAGAAGGTTTAAACAAGACTTAGTCATGGCTTATGCGCTGTTTGTTACACAGTTTTTTATAGTAGTTATTTTCCTGCTGTTCTCTTTACTAACTTGTTTGCCATTGCAAATTTTGTTTATTGCTTTTTTTCCTTGATATTTTTATTAGTTTACTTCATTAGTTACTGAATATTGATGTTTGAAATAAATGAAAGGCTACAAAATAATGTGTGCTCTGTGTCTTGTCATTTTAACACTAAAAGTGTTAACATAATGTGTCAGACCATCATGTGTGGACCACTACTTCCATCTACTGGTTATAATTATTTCATGCCATTATCATGCAGGTGTTTCAAATGCATATATATTTTCCAAATTTTTCAGTTTAATGAAGTGCATTTACTACATTACATTAAAAAAGAATCCAGTCATGACTAGGAAGACTCTGTAATGATCAGTGCCTGATGGTTAAATTATGTAATTCATTCATTTATTCATGCATTACATATTATGAAACTCTTTTATGTTATACAATTTCCATATGCATGGGTCCTTAAATGGGGACTGAGGAACTACCACCTTCATGATTTGTATTTTATTATTATTCATTCAAATTTAAAATATAAATGTACAATATTTTAGTTTTACTATTTTAGTTTTCTATTTCAGCTGGTATTTCTATACCAGATGCATTTCAGCCATGTTTCTGATAGTAACACATCGTCTCATAGTAAACTCCAGGTACATGTGCACAGGTTTGCACACTGTATTATGAACATGCAGTCTGTAGCTTTGGCTGCTGCTGATACAATCAACTATTATCAGTGGTGGACGAAGTACACAAATCAAGTACTTGAGTAAAAGTATAGATACGTATTTATAAAGTCGTTATTTGTATGCATAGATGCTTCATTTGCGCCTTATTCAGCTTACAGATGTGTGTAATTGAAACCAATATTCAACCGCTTCAGTTTACATTAAAAGAAATAAAATAAAAAAAGCCCGTGACGGTATTGATTTCAAAGTGTCCGTTTTTGATTGAAATATTGTCGTGTGCATATTCACAAAATCCCTCATCGAAAATTCGGGGAGTATCGAAAATATGCTTCAGATATGATTCCGTTGTGTGCAACATCTGCATGACTGTGCATGTGCATCACCAGAGGGCGCATGCGCTGGACACGAGGACTGCTGCTGTACTGATCTATTACAATAATACGGACGTATCAGTACCATTGATCTCGAGTAGACAATAGACAGTAGATTTTGCAGTAACCAACACATGGATGTTTCCGTCTGAATGCAGCGCTCGTGTTGCGTGCTAATCACATGCATCTGTGTTCCTCGCGCAGACCGAGAGCTTCTGCAACACACGCGAAGACCAGGAAACCAAAGGAGTCCGTACAGGATTTGTGTCCAACTCGAAACGCCTTCTTAAGGTAAGATGCACACAAAGCCTGATTTGAATTCCTCACCGACGTTTATTGTTTAGTAAGCGATTTTCGAACGTCATGATGCGTTTCATCGTTTTACACAAAAATAAAATACATCTGATATAACGTTACTTATTTGCAAAGATCTTTTCACATTCCAGCTGCTGCCATTTTGTTTGTTTTAACCCTCCCGGTTCCGTTCGGTCATTGTAAGCAGGTACAACTTCCTACCTGGTCACTTTTAACCATTTACATACACACAAAATGTTGTCGCTATAAAAAGAAAAAAAGAACAATTTTCGCCTTCCCGGTGGAATACAAGAGAGCAATTCGTAAACAAATTGTAAAATAAAATCGACCAATCTGGCAAAATGCAGGACACAAACAAAGAAATGAATGACGGTATAACACAGTAACATGGCATTTTTATTAAATGTTGTCCAAAAAAATATTTTCCCACCTTAAAAGCATCATAATGTTGTCATATATCTGATTTGCAGTGATGTCACCTTGACGTGTGTTAAAATTTAACTGTAAATGTACTGCAAGGCAGCCACAGTTTTTAAAAGAACAATGAGAATCGCTCATTGGCTTAGAACAATCGTGACGTTTGGTTAATGTCTAAAATGTTAATATCGGTGTGTTCAACTTTGGCTGCAGCTTAATTTAACCCAGGGGTGCCCAAACTCGGTCCTGGAGGGCCGGTGTCCTGCAGAGTTTAGCTCCAACCCTAATCAAACACACCTGAACCAGCTAATCAAGCTCTTACTAGGCATACTAGAAACTTCCAGGCAGGTGTGTTGAGGCAAGTTGGAGCAAAACGCTACAGGACATCGGCCTTCCAGGACCGAGTTCGGACACCCCTGATTTAACTGATCAGCAAGATTTGCCAAAAGGTGCTGCTCAGCCAATGGGTAGCGCGTGACGTCCCTAACCCTTACCCATCTCTAAACATAGCTAGATCAAACTCCACCCATTAGGTCCACATAGGTGGAGCTGGATTAGGTCAAGCTCCACCCATTTGACCTATTTGGCTCTGCAGTGAGCACCACTTGAGATTTGCTGCTTGCAGTGGGGGGAGGTGTTGAAAACAGATGTAAAATTGGGCACTATGTACTTCCTATAGTGATGCTTGTGTGGTGTTTGCATACTATATTAGATGAAGTGGATTAGATGCAATATTTGTTCTATGCATAGATGTTGAACACTTTTCATTCCGTACTTGATGTATTGCTTAATACAGTGCCTGTATGTACAAGAATAAAGTTCAAAATAAGCCAAAACTATTTAAATGCCAATGAAGTGGGTGACACAACGTCTGCATTGTCTCAAGTCGGACAGTAATTCTAACCAGTATGCACTCCTTCAGGTTAGATGCTGATCAGTTTGCAAAGCGCTGCATAAATCGAACACACCTAACCATTTATCTCTAATTTATATTTCAAAATCTGTTTAATTATGTGTGAGGAGGGCGGTATAATGAACTTAACTATCACACAAACCTGTGCAAATCATTAGATTTAAAGGGATAGTTCACCCAAAAATGAAAATTCTGTCATTGTAATTTTACGAAGCTACAAGAATACTTTTTGTGCGCAAAGAACACATGCGTCGTGATACTCTTCAAAATGGCACCAGGGTGACGCAGAGGAGAAGAATTGTTGAGTAATGTTATTTGTTTTCTTTGCACACAAAAAGTATTCTCGTAGCTTCGTAAAATTACGATTGAACCACTGATGTCACATGGATTATTTTACCGATCTCCTTGCTACGTTTCTGTGCATTGACCGTGGTAGTACCCTTGCCGTCTATGGAGGGTCAGAGAGCTCTCGGATTTCATCAAAAATATCTTAATTTGTGTTCCGAAGATGAACGAAGGTCTTGCGGGTTTGGATCAACATGAGGGCGAGTAATTAATGATAGAATTTTCATTTTTGGGTGAACTATCCCTTTAAAGAAAAGCATAATCTGGCCCATTTATGAGCTTTTAATTTCATAGTAAGGACAGCAAAATGTCCTCCCAAAGTGGTTTTAAATACATGTTTTACTGTAAGGTTATAAATGTGGCTTCCTTGGACCTTGCTTGCAGTTCATTCTGAAGCTGCACAATGAAGAGACAGCATAATGTTGCGAAGAACCTGGCTCTGCTATTTGAGTTTAGTGATGAAGAAAGTGACGTGACCCCACAAACGACAAGTGATGGAGTTATGAAAGAGGAAAGAGACACAACCCTACGTAAGACAAGTGATAAAGTGATGGAAGAGGAAAGAGACAGGACTCTTCATACGATGAGAGATGGAGGGATGAAAGTGGAAAGAAATGTAACCCTACATATGACATGTGATGAAGAGATGGTAGAGGAAACAAACGAGACTCTTTATATGATGAGTTATGGAGGGATGAAAGTAGAAAGGGATGAGACCCTACATGTAACAAGTGATGGAGGGATGAAAGTGGAAAGAGACGTAACTCAACATATGACAACTGATGCAGGGATAGAAGAGGAAAGAGACGCAACCTTACGTATGACAAGTGATGGAGGGATGGAAGAGGAAAGAGACGCAAATCTACATACGACAAGTGATGGAGGAATGGAAGAGGAAAGAGACTCAACCCTAGATACAACAAGTGATGGAGGGATGGAAGAGGAAAGAGACGTGGCCCAACATACGACAAGTGATGGCAGGATGGAAGAAAAAAAATATGTGACCCTACGTACGACAAGTACTGAATGGATAGAAGAGGAAAGGGATCTGGATGGAGACGCAGAGCTGGAGGTGGAGCTCTCTGATGAAGCTTCTGAAACAGAGGACAATATGGAGTTTGACCCAGACTACCACTCTACTGATGGAGAAGAGTCAGAGGAAGAGTCAGAGGTCACTGCTGACACAGAGACGGCTTATCAGTCTAAAAACGGAAACATATCGTGGACTTCAAAAACTCCTCAGAGACAACGAGGGAGATTTCCAGCTCATCGTATCATCAGAATGACCCCTGGACCAACCAGGTTGGCATGTGCCAATGCTAAAGACATAAGATCAACCTTTGAATTGTTTTTCCCAGATGATATTAGACAGATTTTGATTGAAATGACCAATTTAGAGGGGAAATGCGTGTTTGGTGATACCTGGAAGAACCTGGACTGGACAGACTTACAGGCCTTTCTTGGTCTGTTGATTCTGGCAGGCGTGTATCGATCCCACCATGAGGCCATGGATTGCTTATGGCACGCTGAGTCGGGAAGGCCAATTTTTCGTGCTACCATGTCACTGAAAAGTTTTAAGAGTTTGTCAAGGGTCTTCTTCTTTTACAAAAAGGACAAAAGGTATAGCCAACAGAAAAAAGACAAGCTGGCACCAGTAAGGAACATCTGGGATAAATGGGTCCAACGACTGCGACTCTTATACAATCCAGGCCCAAACGTCACTGTGGACAAGTGCCTGGTCCGTTTCAGAGGTCGCTGTCCCTTCAAACAATACATGCCGAGTAAACCGGGCAAGTATGGAATTAAAATCTGGGCGGCATGCGATGCCAGATCGAGCTACGCGTGGAACCTGCAGATCTACACTGGCAAAGCTGTCGACGGCAAGTCAGAAAAGAACCAGGGAATGCAAGTGGTCTTGGACATGACAGACGGTCTAGAAGGACACACCATCACGTGTGACAACTTCTTCACCTCGTACGCCCTCGGCCAGGAGCTGCTCCAAAGGAAAATGACCATGATTGGAACTGTCAGATCAAACAAGCCTGAGCTCCCACCTGCGCTCCTGTCAATGAAGGACAGGGCACCATTATCATCCATGTTCGCCTTCACTGATACGCACACTCTTGTGTCCTACTGTCCCAGAAAAAATACAAATGTGCTTTTGATGAGCACTTTCCACAGAGATGACAAAGTAAGCGACAAAGACCACAAGAAGCCAGAGATAATCCTAGACTACAACCATACCAAAGGCGGAGTTGACAACCTTGACAAGGTATTTTGCTACTTTGCATTATTTATTCGTTTTTATTCAAGGCCAAATGCCACATATAATGTGAAATGAAATGTCAGCTGATAAGCTAAAGCTTTGTTGTTGTGTGTATGTGTCATTTTGTTTGCAGCTTGTTGCCACTTACACCTGCCAAAGGAAGACCACACGTTGGCCCATGGTGATTTTCTTCAACATGTTGGATGTCTCTGCCTACAATGCATTTGTGCTGTGGATGGAAATAAATCATTCATGGAACAAAGGGAAGAAATATAGAAGGAGGCTCTTTCTGGAAGAGCTAGGGAAAGCTCTGGTGGCTCCTCTCATGAAAAGACGGGAAAATATTCCCCGCACTCCAGCCTCTCAGAATATGGTGATGGAAGCACAAGCAAGCTCTTCGCCAGTCAAAGCCACTCATCTCGCACCAGTAACCCCAGCCAAGAGGAAAAGGTGTCAGGTCTGTGACCGAAAGAAGGACACAAAAACAAGTTTGACGTGCAGTGAGTGTAACAAATACATTTGCGGGTCACACGCTGTTATGACTGCTCAGTGCCCAGAATGCAGCAAGAAGGTTTAAACAAGATTTAACCACTGCTTATGTACTGTTTGTTACTTGGTTTTATGACTAAAACCAATCTTTTCTTTTTGTTTTCTTTACTAACTTGTTTACCATTGCAAAATGTGTAATCTGTTTATTGCCCCTTGTTTCGTTGACTTTTTTTTATTAGTTTACTGCATTAGAGTTACTAAGTATTCATGTTTTAAATAAATGATAGGCTACAAAATTATGTATACTCAAGTCTTTTCATTGTAACACTTTGTAAGCAAAATGTGGCATCACTGCAAAAACGGACACTTCAAAAGTGGATTTAAAAATGGAAATCTTCAACAAATATTCTTTTTTTTTTTAAGTATATCCTAAGTTTATTTCCAAAATTATAGAGCATTGGGTTACTGAAATCATAGACCAACATGTGGATCACTAACGCCACCTACTGGCTATAATTGTAATTTCATGTTATTGTCATGACGGCAGATGTTCAAAAATCATACATGATATTTGCCTGATTTTTCAGAATGAAGCGTATGGTCTTACTGCAGTTAAAGTAATATAAAATGTGTTTGTTTGATATGAAAATTAATGGTGTAACTTGGAGAGAAATTAGGTCTATTTATATTTTTAAATAAGTTTAGTCCTATTAAATGAAGTTAGTGTTACTGTGTCTTTAAAAATGATTTATTTAATAACAAAATAATTATTATTTATTTTTAATAGATTTATTTATTATATTTATTTACTCACCCTGGTGTTGTTGTAATATCATATTACCTTTCTGTTTCAGACCATAAAAGGATAAATCTAAAAAAAATCCTGCTAGCGCTCCTCTGTAATGGTTGTTAACAGTGACCAACTTCAGGCCTTTAAATTAAACGGTGCATTATTGTGTCTACCCAAAGAGGCACAAAATCACTTTCACTGACTTTTACATTAAATGTTCCCTCCTGGTGGAATGACCTGCCCAACTCAATCTGAGCAGCCAAGTCTTTAGCCATCTTCAAGAATCGGAATACTTGACCCTCTAACTCTAGCACTCTCCATTCTAATTCTATTCTTTAAAAAAAACTTGCCCTTTAAGACTTGCACTCTATTAATTTACTAACTGCTTGTTTTCTTTAAGAAAAAAACAACTAACACTAGCTTCTCCACTCTTTTTGTATTCGATTTGTTTTTTTTATATTTATTATACAATTAACAAAAAGCAAAAAAAGGCCTCTGACACTCGCTTGCTCTATTCTTTTTCTATTCTATCTGTTTTCTTTTTATTTATTATATAATAAACAAAAAAAACTTGCTATGTGTATTGCGTTAGGCTAACTGAGACTTGTCATAGCACTTGCATATTGTTCTTTTGTTGATTTTGATTGCTTTTATTATCCTCATTTGTAAGTCGCTTTGGATAAAAGTGTCTGCTAAATGACTAAATGTAAATGTAAAATAAGATGCAAAACTCACAGAATGATCGCATACGACTTGTGCCATTGTGTGGTTATTTTGCAATAAATGGAAAAATGCTTAGAAAGAACTAACCTGATGAGAAATGTACTTTGTTGTAATTCATTGAAAATTACTTGCATTGATAAATAGTGTTGGGGAAAGTTACTTTTAAAAGTAACGCATTACAATATTGCGTTACTCCCTAAAAAAAGTAACTAACTGCGTTACTTAGATACTTTATATTAAAAGTAATGTGTTACATTACTTTTTAAATCTGCTTGTTTGTTTTTAATATAAAAAAATTATTCTTTTAGAAATGTAAAAGCCCTTTCACAACAAAAGTGAAATGAATACGCCTCAGGCTGAAGGAAATGTAAATCCATGTCTGTACAGTAGAGGGTGCAGCTCAAGCAAATTGCATGAAGAATATGACGCAGGAGAAGAAAGTTCAACACTATGCAGCAATAACAAAAATTAAACGTGTCATTTTTGCTTATTAGGTTGAATTGGATCATCGAAGGTCAGTAGCAAAGACACTGGTTAATAAAATAGGTTTAAATGCATAAATGGTATTTGTCTTATTTAACATTTAATTATTGCAGGTTTGTATAATAGTCTTGAGTTTGCATTTGACTGTTTTTATTTATTTTGAGGAATACTGAATCTGTTTTTGTGCAGGTGAAATGAGTAAATGCATGTTGACATTTAGTCTAGAACTACAGTAACATCATGTTCACAAAGTGCACACAACGCCTCTGCACTTAGTCCCAATTTCTCTCAACATGGCAACACACGAGCTGTAAGTCAATACATGGGAAACAAAGTAACTGGAGTTACTTATTTGAAAAAAGTAACTCCGATATTTCCTTCTAAATTAAAAAGTAATGCGTTACTTTAATAGTTACTTAAAAATGTAATATGTTTACGTAACTTGCATTACTTGCAATGCATTACCCCCAACACTCTTGATAATGTAAATATATAAAATAGAATTGTATTGGTTGTTTTCTTGATAGTATAAGTAATGATTATTTGTTTAACCTGAAAAATATGTCAACATTTTTAATTTTGGGGTTAACTGTCCCTTTAATTTTTTTTTTAAACTGTTACTTTTATTTTGTATACATTTTCAGTGTTATTTTATAGCTCCACTGAAGGCCAGTCCAGATGGCATTTATGTCCAGATTGTCCCGGTCACGGAGTAATTCCAGATCTCCCAGCAGAAAGGACTCAGAGAAAGGCTCTCCTGTACTAACTGTTGCTGAACTTGAGCGTCTGTTGTACACTGGGAAAACCGCCTGTAATCATGCAGATGAAGTGTGGCCACGACTCTACATAGGTGACCAGTAAGTAGCCCATGAATATCTGCAGTTTTGGCCATATACAGGATGCTGAACACAAGATTATGCTTTAGTTGCTCATACAAAAAACTAGTATTGAATAAAAAAAGATATGTAACTTCATGGATCATAAAATGCCTTGCTTTGAATAATGCATTTAACAAAGCATGAAATAGCAGTAAAAGAGTGAAATTTTATCCTGTTTAGATAGGTAAACTAGAAATTGCCAGTATATTTTGTACTGTGTACAAATTTCTCACTTAAATTTGCAGAGAAATTGCCTCAAACCGCAAAGAACTCGTCAAGCTCGGGATCACGCACATCCTCAACTGTGCTCAGAGCAAATGGAGAGGCGGCGCGGAGTATTATGCTGGCATGAACATCACGTATCACGGCATTGAAGCCCACGACTTGCCCTCTTTCGACATGAGTGTCAACTTCTACCCAGCAGCCGAGTTCATTCACAGAGCCCTTAGTACCGGAGGTCAGTTCATAAGGGGCCTTTTTCTTTCAACCTGAAGTTTCTCAGTCTTATTAAAATCAAAAGCAAAAAGGGTTTTACATGTTATGTGATGCTATATAGTGCATTATTTCCCACTCACTTTTTCATCAGCATTGGTTCCGGAAGTATTTTTTTCCATTCCTTTTTCCTATAAAAATTCCTATGGGTTTGTTAAAGCAAATCACAATGTTACAAACTTTTATTTGAAGCAAAATTGGGGGGGGGG